AAATATTTTAGTATGGTTCCTTTTGTCTACGCGTGGTAATGATGATAACACAAAGGCTTGCTAAAACGTATAAACAAAGGCGGGTCAATTTAGCAGCGTCTCGCAAAGTCCCATTCCCTGTAGTTTAGGTACGCAAAGGGCGCGTTATGTGAAGCTGTGTAAGTGAATTTTGACGGTAACAGCCTGGTGTTTGTATCCAGACCCTTTTATATCTGATGATTAATATAATATGTGTTGATTGTGATTCAACCGACCGTATCGCGTCGTACACTACAATTTTCGCGCTTCTACAATTTTAAAGATAAAAGTAATGAAGATGTCCCGCAAGCAACAAACGAGAAAAGTAATATTTACCAACCACCGTGCTTTCCGCATTGTTTCAAAACTTCGGCGGCGAAACTTCTCTATCTCAAATATAAACTTGTTGTGTTGCGACAGCGGCGGATATTAAGTAATTTATCAACAATATATCAGGGAGTATAATGTGGTTTCGCTAGTTTCTAATTCGTTAAAGCTTTCAGTTCGGGAATAACGTCTCGACCTAGTTAACGATCACCCCGTAAATTAGGTCCCAGGAAAATTGATAACATCCTAAGATGCTATGAGACAACTGTGTTTTTACTCGAGTGGAGTTATTTATTGCCGTGGATAAACACAATCTCACTAATCAGTTCTATGACTCGGATTATTATTTACACAGTATGTTATGACAAAATTAAACCTTTAATACTATTAAATAAACACTTTTATTTGTTACTCAGTTGTAAACGTTGATTAACAAGATAAAACGCAAACGGGTAAACGTCATGTTTAAACGCTACTGACTTGTAAAACTGACAGCAGACCTGTAAAAATTTTACAAGTTAGTAATCTAGTAATTTCATTGGCCAGAATTAATGCGAAGTGTCTGTTACATGGATCACATGATATTTTAAACATTTCTTCAAGATCAATTTAAGAACTAATTATTTACGTTTACTATTGTTTACAAATGAGTAACAAATAAAATATTGTACATTATTAGCCAGGTAAGTGAGTTTTTACTGGCTCTAGGAGATGACAGGCTCGCCTAACGGCTCGCCAGTCAACTTCTCCTATCGCCAGTAAAAACTCACTTACCTGGCTAATAATGTAAAATACTATTAAAATCAGCTTTCACACAACAATAAAATAATGTGACAGCAGCGTAAGATGGAGGCTCGAGGCCTTGGTCCAAACATTCATAGGGGCCCTCCTGTATAGACAATAGTCTTTTTTGTGTGTTTGTTAAGAACAGATTTGGAAAAATACTAAATCAATCTTATTAGCAAAATATTCAGAACTTGAAATATTCGAGTATAGTTGGAGATATTACTCCACTTCCATATTGTAGTGTCATTAAAATAAAAACCTTTCGCTTCCTTTGAATAAGTGTCAACGATGTGAAGAATTTTAAGAAGTTAATTCCAACTGAATACATTTATTACGATTGATATATCTAACTAAACTTCATAAACTATTCCTACTGGCCAAATAATTCTCTTAGTAAACAATACGAGAAGCAATTGTAAATAAGCAATCTATATATTGTGAACTACTAAACGTTGATACTACGCGAGTATTAACTTGGATTAACTCTTCCGTGACATAAATTTGTTGAACAGAACCTGTCGCGTTGTCAAACGTTTAATAATAGTTATTTGTGCAACTAGTTGGGAAAAGCACGATTTTTCGTAACGAGCAAAAGAAAGTGAGTTACGAATAATAGTGTTTCCCAAGGTGTTTCACACAATATTTTTTCTAATTTTGAATATGATCCTTTTTAAATGAAGTTAAACATGTCCATCCAATAATAATTGTTTCTAAATCATCAAGTGAGTGTGTGTGTGTTTGACACTTCGTTACTATGGAAGCAATTTATGTTTAGTGTCAAGTTTCACAATTGCCATTTTCGAAAAAGTGAACTAACCTTTCTTCACGTACAAAATGTAGTATTTCAGGAGCAGTTCGTTCAAGTGACCATTCCCAACACAAAGACAAAAGTATTTCGAGAATTTTCTATAACCACTGGTGCTTTTGATGGTATAAATTGCATTGAAATGATAAAGAAGTACGTGCTGCTAAGACCTTCAAATGTAAAGCATGACAGATTTTTCGTGAAATATTCAAATGGGAAATGTGTGGAGTTCAACCTGTGGGTATGAATACTTTCGGAAATTTGCCGAAAATGATACCCCAGTTTTTAAAGTTGCCAAATCCCTGTTTGTACACCAGTCATTGCTTTCGGCGGTCATCGACCACTCTCTTTGCTGATTCTGGGGCCGACTTGTTGAGAATAAAGCAACATGGGGGGTGGAAGTCGAATACAGTCGCTGAAGGCTATGTGGAGAATTCCATAATTAATAAACAGAAGATTGCAACTAACATTCTTGGAGAGAAGATAGAAAAGACGCAAATTAATGCTACCCAGAAAACTACGGTGTCAGATGGAGTCAATATTGCCCATTGTTCCAATTGTGTTATTAATATTTATAATTCGTTTTTCGGAATACAAGTAGTTTAGTTTAAATGACACGTTACCGTAAGCATTTGAGACGGAATTTACGTTAAATTTAAGTTTTGTTTACTGTAAGAAAACTGAAATCAAATTTATATCACAAATTTTATTCTTGTATTTTTTGCAACTAATGGTGAAATTTACTTTTTGTACTCATTGAATGGAAAGATAATGTTTTCAAGCATCCTCGATGCACGGGAAAACGACTTTTTCTACAATCGATATCCAAAGTAGGCATTTGCGCTCGTATTTGACAACGCAAACGTCATCTTTTTCGAGGAATGTCACTTTGTCGCTTATAAGCGACAAAATAGAAAAAACGCTCGCTCTCCCAATTATTAACTATAAATCAAATATGCATTGCTCAGAGTATCCAATGACAACGAGTAAATGACATCTTTCATTTGGGCATAAGATTAAAATGATTTGAGTGAAAAATTTAAATTTTTGGAAATATGTGAACTGCTCGATTGTAGAAAAAACCTTGTGTGTAATTCGAGCGCAAATTGATTGTCGATTTCAAGAGATTGCCGCGCTCCTTCGTCGCGCGTCAACTGTCTCTTTCAATCGACAATATATCATTTTGCGCTCTTAATACACAAATAGCTATTCCCGCATCGCGGTGTTTTTTAGTTTCCGCTGGAGAGAAGGGGTTATGCGCGTTCTTCAGTTGGTAGTACTTATTGAAGTCAACGAACGTCATGTCATGGTTAACTGTCATCTGCTGTAAAATCAATTAAACCGTTGGTTGAGGGTATTTAGTGCGATTAATCGGAAACAGACGTACACTAAGTTTTACGTAAATATATAAACAAGAACTTATAACGCAATCAAATTATTTTTCAGAAGTGGAACTCAAGAAAAAGTAAAATTTATTGTTAAAACGTCTTAAAATGTGACCAGTGATATTCCGCAACTATTGGCATATGCAGCTTAAGAAAGTACATATTAACACACGCAAAGCTTCCAAGGATTATAAATGTAACGAGTGTATTTACGCAACTCAAGATAAATCAAATTTGAGATCACATTTGTTCACACGTCTTCTGGGAATATTAAATACGATCAGTACACTTACGCGACCAATAAAAGCAATCTTTTCAAAGCATATTTGTTAACACTGAAGACTTCCAAGGATTATGCAGTGGAAACGATGCAATTCCGTGACCAGTAGTAGCACTCATTGCAAAGCCAAAATATGTATTAACCAAAGATCTGAAAGTTTTAAATGTGACCAGTGCGATGAAAAGTGGGTAGTTATAAAACTATGTTACCAACCAAACATATTGTGTTACCAACTTATGATTAAAAAAAAAACTAATTTACAAAACTTTATTAATTTTGACTTTTTTACGCAATTCGTTACAAAAAATATTGTACCTAACTCTTTCGGAACGAATTTTCCCGCATTCGCACTAAATGCAGCACTCCCTACGGTCGTGCTGCAAACAAA